ATTCACACTTTGATGTCTAAGTCCACCTGGTGGCCAGAAAACACTTCAAATTCAAGAAGTCTCAAGTGGAACAAGTGTCCATCCCATAATTACTCCTATCTTTTCTTTTTTTTTTTTTTTTTTTACTCCTATGTTTTCTATTTTATGTAATGAGATCCACCCAGAAACCAAAACCATAAATCTGAGATTTCTGTAACTCTTCCTTACCCCTTCTAAACTCTCTGGGGTGGTTTAAGGACCTTGGCTCCTTCCATCTAGTAGATCCACCATTCCCTTGGGCCTTCAAGTCCTCCAGGTGGGAAAACTAAAGACAATCGGAAATGGCCAATTGCTCTAAAAAGAGCACAAACTGGTCTCATGACCTTACCCAGATGCAAGAAGCCCAGAAAATATATTCTGGCTATTTGACAAAAAGAGAAAAGACATGGGTGTTGGTGAATGATAACTTTATCTTCTGTAGTGATTTCTAAAGTTAAATGCTATTTGTCCTATTAATGCTATTGGTGGGTTAGTGCTATCTTTCTCTTTTTTTTTTCATGACTTCCTGTTTTATGTATGAATTCAGTGTACTGTTACTTTCCTTGACCTTCTTACCTGCCATTTTCAATGATTCATTATAAATTATTATATAATTATTTTTACATAATTATTTTCTCTAAATAGTTTTGATTTTTATTATCAATTCTAAAACTTTCCCAGTCTTGAATTCTGGATCTTGATTCACCCTTTTTATCTTCTGGGTAACATTATTGGGAAAATTTACCATTGAAGTTAAATAATTACTCTTATATATATGTATGTATGTATATATACATATACATATACATGTATATATATACATATACATGTATATATATACATATACATGTGTATATATATATATATTTAAACTTTTGTCCTAAATAAGAAAGTCCTTTTTGTTGCATTTGCACATAAATAATTACTTAGATGTGTATGAAATTCTTGTATCAAAAATGTTTTCCCTCAAAACCTGATGAAATTGTTGCATTGTCTCCCAATATTTGATGTTCTGGATGAGAAGTCTGAAACTCGCCTGACTTTTTCTCCTTTGTAGATAATCTTTTAACGTTTAGCTTACCTTTGAAATGTTAGAATGTTCCATGATATGTCTATGTTTGGATATATTCTCATTATTTTGATAAAAACCATATTAATTCAATTTATGGACATAAACCTTTATGTTGGGTCAGGTTTCATGGGGAATTTTATGTTCATCATTATTTATTCCATTTATTTTTTAAGTTGATTAGATATTTTTATTCTCTGTCCTCAATATCTATAATTCTGACTTTGATTGATTTCTTCTTAGTCATTTTCCTCTCCATTCTTTCCTACTATGTACTTTTAATCTGCTTTTTTCTCCTTTCCAGGCAGATTTGAATTCTGCCATTGCTTTTTATATTTCCTTGCTATCTTATTTAAGCAAGAGCAGTTAACAGCTTTGTCTTCATATCTGTCTTTTCATGATCATAGGTACATGTTTCATAGAAGCTCCCTTTTCATAAAGGCATGTCCCCCCTTTGTTATTTAAGAATAAAATGCAAATGTTTTCTAAAACTTCCATCTCATTCTCATAAAAGTAATACATGTACACACAAATCTGCTTTTGAAGTTTCTAGACTATGTTTTCCCTCTCTCGTGCTACGAAGAAATCTTGTGACTTAATGTTTTTCTCTTTTAAAAAAGGGAACTATATTCAGGCTCAGCTTTTACCAATATGAGGGGAAGGTGAAATTTACTTGGCTCCTCATTCTAGCTATTTGAATTCCAATAACATTCCTCTCTCAGAGGTAGACTCAAGGTCAGCAGCCTTTAGTTTTGTGCTGGTCTATTGAACTAAGGATGTATCTCCTGTTTCTTAGACAGTTCAGTGTCTTGGGAAGAACCCACTGAAGTTTAAAAACTTGTTTGAACAATTAAAAAGTATACTGTGCATATACTGCTCCTAGAACTTGTCCTAAGATAACTAGGATATGAAGATATAATGTCTTTTCTACTATTTTTCTGTGTTTCGGACTCTGCACTAAATGAATGAGTGTAAAGAAATGTTGAAGTAGCTGTTGATGAGAGGCAAGATAATGTAGAAATCTGGTTAGAGAGGCCTCTATATCATGGAGTATGACATAACCAATGGAACTCAATTGCCATCTTTTTCTATCTTTTGAGGGGCTATAGATTTTGTTCTATTTCAAGTGGGTTGATATATAGTACATGGCTAAGAATTTGCATCTAATGGAATTTTATCCAGATGTCAACTCAAAATCTTTGTTCATCTTGAACTTACAGTGCTAGTCACAATATTTTCAATGTATATACATAAGTACATTGATTGAAACTTGATGGGAGAGATATCAGGGATGTTTAACAACACAGGTAAAACCCATTTATAGTTGCCAGTAATGTTTGAAAGCACTTCATCAAATTATATCTTTAGCGCTTGTATCTGTAACAAGAGTCCTCACTTAACAAACTAAAATACAACATAAACTTCAAATCTAGTACACTTTCCATTATACCTCAGCTGCTATAAATTAATGAGAAATACTATTGTAATCAAGTAAAAAATAATTCTAATGAAAGAAGAAACTTTTGCATTCACAGCACCAATGGTTTTGCTGTACTTGACTAACATCATCTGGGAAAATATTGATGGATATGAATAACCAGTTCCTGCCAGTGCACACTAATGACCTCATTATTGAAGGTGCTTGCATGTTGTGACATCAGAGAAAAGAAAATCTTAATCCCAGAGTCTTCCAAGTTTGTTACTAAAGATCTCTTACTATAGACTCTTCCAACCATACTGACATTCCAAACCTGGTACTAGAAATAAGATCAAAGCAGTATTGTATTCAGCATTCAGTTTTTATGCAAGACTCCCAAGATCTTATCGAAAAGGGGTCCTTAAATGAGTCATACATCCTTTAAAGCCATATTCCCTTAAGTGGCCATATGCTATGTACTCACATATCAGAGACACTGTACTTTAATGACCATAAAGAGAAATGCCACATTTTCTTCTGTCTTTGGACTAGTGCTACTGAACTATTTTGATGCATACTTTTACATACAATATCAGGAGGTTTTTAAACCAGCATTCCACCCCACAATCCTAACATGAACCAAGGTAATAGTTTCTGCTTAAGGTCTTTAAAAATAATATTAATCTAAGTAGAGCAGTACACTATGTAGTATACTTAGACTATTTCCTACCTAAGAAAATATAGCTGTTTTATGGCTTTTTATTGTATTTTTTTTAACTTTTAGTTAATCTGTGTACTTTTTAAATTTAAATTCAATTAGCCAACATATAGTACATCATTAGTTTTTGATGTAGTGTTCAATGATTCACTAGTTGCATATCACATCCAGTGCACATCAGATCTCGTACCCTCCTTAATGCCTCACCTCTCTCCTTTCTGCACCCCTCGATTTGTTTCCCAGAGTCAAGAATCTCTCATGGATTTTTCTCCCTCTCTGATTTCTTCCCATTCAGTTTTCTCTCCTGTTCCCTATGTTCCTCTGCGTTATTCCTTATGTTCCACATATGAGTTAAACCATATAACAATTGTCTTTCTTTGTTTGATTGACTTATTTCACTTAGCATGATAACCTCCAGTTCCATCCATGTCAATTTAAATGGTGGGTAGTCCTCCTTTCTGATGGCTGAGTAGTATTCCATTGTATATATGAGCCATTTCTTTATCCATTCATCTGTTGAAGGACATCTGGCTCCTTCTATAGTTTGGCTTTTATGGACATTGCTGCTATGAACATTGGGGTCCATGTGCCCTATTTTCGCTACATCCATATCTTTGGGGTAAATACCCAGTAGTGAAATTGCTGGGTCATAGGACAGCTCTACTTTTAACTTCTTGAGGAACCTCTGTACTATTTTCCAGAGCAGCTGTACCAGCTTGCATTCCCACCAAACATCATTGTAGAAAGGTAATGTGAAGCAGAACTTAGAGCAAAGAAAGGAGAAATTGGGTAAAAGCAGAAAAATAAAACAGTAAGCCTGTCTTTGAAAGGATGATGGTTGAGGAATTGATGAGTTATATTTGTGAGACAGTAAGTGATTGATTTTGGCACCCTTTCAACATTTGTCTACATCATAGAAACACAATGAAGTAGGAAAAAAGAATGAGAACCTTGATAAAAATTCAGATATCATCCTGGGATCCTACTGAGCAAATCCTTAAGGAGAGTATGCTGTATCACTCTACATCAGCAGTGTACATAACAGGATATCTGTCTAACATTCTTTTAGGTAGCATTTAGCAATTTCAAAAATGCCTCAAGTTCTAGGATCAATGTCAGGAAATGCCCTGATTTGCATTAGCATAGACTCCTCTCAAGGATGATGTTGCTTAGAAATGGAAGTTGTTCCATGTTTTGAATACGTTATTTTACTCTTAGTTTCCTTTTATAACTGTTACATTAGAGTTCTGAAGATTAGTTGAATAACTAATAGATAATTAAATATTTAAAACTAGTAGGATAATTAAAATATTTAAAAGAAATTTAAAAGTTTATTTTCCTATAAAGGTAAGTTTCTATGTAATTAATCATAGGATGAGGGGAAGAAAAATAAACTTTTTTTTAAGAAGTAAAAACCAGGGGCGCCTGGGTGGCTCAGTGGGTTAAGCCTCTGCCTTCGGCTCAGGTCGTGATCTCAGGGTCCTGGGATCGAGCCCCACATCGGGCTCTCTGCTCAGCAGGAAGCCTGCTTCCTCCTCTCTCTCTGCCTGCCTCTCTGCCTACTTGTGATTTCAGTCTGTCAAATAAATAAATAAAATCTTAAAAAAAAAAAAAAAAGAAGAAGTTAAAAACCAATGCCACCATAAAGAAGTTTCCATAAGCATTCCATTTCCCCTTCTAGACACAGCTGAAGATGAAGTTTATCTTCTGTTTTTTTTCCCCTTAGAAACCCTTTTATATCAGGCACAATTACAGTATCCTGCATTTATTGTTAACAGCCTTTCAAGACCTACAAGGTGATGTTGAATATTACACACTTTTTTGGAGTTCTGCTACCTCAGATGAATCTCTCAAAATCCTCCCAGACGTAAACTCTCATGTCATCAGCCACTTAAATCCAAACACAGAGTATCGAATTTTTATCTCTGTCTTCAATGGAGTCCACAGCATCACCGGAGAAGTACTGCGTGCAACCACTTTCGATGGGGGTGAGTCCAGATTTCAAGGGACACTTGGCTTCAGAGATGCAAATGAAATTGATTGATTCTTGCTGAGGTTGAGATCAGTCTTCCCTCCATTATAAAATTTCCGGTGTTGGAGGGAAGGGGGTTGGGGCTAAAATGCTTAAGTGCTCACTGTCATCAAGTGGCAGATCAATACACAGTCCCTTAGAGACAGCAGCACAAGGCTCTAATAATGGGATATTAGCCCAGTTTGTTCCTGTTCTTTTCGGTGTATGCTGAGTTTGGAGCTGAGTTCACATCAATAAATGGTGACATTTAGAAACTTCTTTTTTTAAGATTTGCTCTCAGAAGCAGTATGCTTTTCAAAACACAGCCAGGCACCGTGAGGGCTCTCCCTGAGTCACCAGAAATGGTAGGTGGAAGTTCAGCCACTGAGAAAAATTGCCTATGACTCATTTCTAAGCCAGTTAGCAAGGGGGAGGAAGCAAGGGAAGCAACTTGTGAATCTGAAATGTGTTTGGAATGGTCTTTCTAATCTTTTTGGCTTTATAAAGTCTCATTATAAACATTATAATATCATTACCTCCCAAGCAAGTGTTCCAGGTCATTAGCAGAGCACTTTAAGTGTGGAACCCATTTCCCTTTGTGGTGCCAAAGGTCAACACCTTTTGTTTATAAAATAGAATGGATCACAAGGACAATTTTTCAGCTAGTTAAGATGGGTTCTTATGATAAAAATAGGTCTTTGCATAGTTATTTCTGACATGCTTGAATAATTGTGTAATTTAACGCCAAGCAAGATTTTTTTCCTAATGTTAGATTTCATCATTACCTATGGTAATCAACATTCAAAATCATTTACATAATGACAATATTGCATTATTGCTTCATATTGCTTGAGTTACAAGCTAGTAACATCAAATGATTTTTTACGTTCCACCAGCCTCAGCCTCAATGTATTTGAGTTTTATTTTTTGCTTAAGGAGCGAATTTTCTTTTTTCCTTTTTTTTCCCCTGTGAGGTATGGGGTGAAGGGATGGGGAAAGAAACAAATAATGGATATGTGTTAGTGCTGCAGATGGGTGAATAATTTATCATCATATCCCACTGGTCACATAGTATTGAAGATTAGCACTATGCTGGTGGTATAAAGCATTTTACCACCAATTCTTATGGTTTCTAACTGAGAGTATAATAAGCCAATTTACAGAAGACTACAGACTGTGATAACTTCATCAGAGAAAAGCAGATAAGCAACAAACCCTTTGCTAAACCTAAATACTAATCTGCATTGAGTTTAACAAGTGCTTTTTCAGAGACAGCTGGAGTTTATTCAGTTTCTTCCTTTAATTCTAGAGCCTCAGGGCATGCTTCCTCCAGAGGTTGTCATCATCAACAGTACAGCTGTACGTGTCATCTGGACATCTCCTTCAAACCCAAATGGTGTTGTCACTGAATATTCCGTCTATGTAAATAATAAGCTCTACAAGACTGGAATGAATGTGCCTGGGTCTTTCATTCTGAGAGACCTGTCTCCCTTCACTGTCTATGACATTCAGGTTAGAACACTGTTTTTTGATGGTTAAGTTTATAGGTATGTTAAATAAAACATGCTAGGCTATGTCTCTCGGTGGACACCTTCAGTCTTGGTTACAGATTATTTATTTACCGGGGGAGGGGAAAAAAAAGAGATAAACTGATTAGGATTAAATCTATTTGCTGCGGGCAAACACATGAGTCTCTGGAGAGAAGATAATGGTAATATGGAAAACAATGGTGATGATATTCTCATCGGCAGGCAAAATGAGGCAAGTCATATATTGGCAGGAAATCTTGCCAGGCAGTTTGCTTTTGTCCTGCCTGGTTCTTTTACTGCTATCAAAAACAGAATCAGCCTGTGAATGTGGAGACTTTTTTTTTTTATCCCTACATCCGCTGTTTACTAATTTAATATCCTCAAGGAAGTTACATAACCTGTTTGGTGTCAGTTATCTTTTTTGTAAGGACAATGGACTCCACAACTTAAAACATTCCATCCAGGGGCGCCTGGGTAGCTCAGTGGGTTAAAACCTCTGCCTTCGGCTCAGGTCATGATCCCAGGGTCCTGGGATCGAGTCCCACATCGGGCTCTCTGCTCAGCAGGGAGCCTGCTCCCCCCTCTCTCTCTGCCTGCCTCTCTAGAGGCCTACTTGTGATCTCTCTCTCTGTGCAAAAAAAAAAAAAAAAAAATCTTTAAAAAACAAAACAAAACATTCTATCCACCTCTGGCATTCTGTGATTCTGAAGGCAACAAGAAATGTGACTATATGGCAGACAAGAATATATTAAAGGGTTTTGCCACATGTGTGGCAACCCTCCCCTGTGTGAAAAGAGTTTATTAAACATTTTTGCCCTTGAACCTTCTTTGAGACTCTGATGAACCCTTGAACCCTGCCCTGGAAAAACATGTATGTATTTATGTGACAGAAGTCGGCTTCCACTTTCAGAATGCATTGACCATGTGAGGCCCAACTCACAGATCTCTTGGAGATCTACTGACCTTCAAAATAGAAAAAAAATATAGAGACAACAAAGGCATTTATAACAAGGAACTTGTCCCCAAGGCGTTGAAAATCTTATTACCGTGCTAGGATGTAAAAGATAACAAGGCCAAGTGTGGAAATTAATGATAAAAACAGAATGTTTCAGAAACTCAAAGTTCATAGAGGAGGGTGGCAATTTGGTAAGTTTTTAAAGAAACTGTGCTGATTCTAATGAAAGAGCTTTGTAAATAATTTTCAAAAGACATTAGGCATAGAAATTTTGATGGTCAGAGAAACTTTTCACTGGCTTTGTCCATTAAGTGCTACCTCCTTCATTTTACTGTACCCTACTTTCCTGCACACTTGAAGGTGAAACCCACACAATCATCTGGCTACAACCAATGCTTTAGCCTCTCCTACTGCTAGGCCTACCTTCTTCAGGAAGCAAAAAGATATTTGATAAAAGAAGAAAGATATGTTGATTATTTTTCATTACACTCTGATTTCTATGACCTGACCTGAGGCATCTTAGCATGGAACATGCAGACAGATGCTCATGTCCATAGCTTTTCGAGTGAGTCCATATGTGCCCATACATCATAGGTAAAATTATAAAAGAAAAATCATGCTCAAAATTAAAATCATACTAAAAAAATCATACTCAAATTATAAATAAAAATCATACTCAAAATAATCTTTATGAACAAGGTTAGTTTAGGAAGGTGATAGAGGGTTTGCTGGATTATTCTCTTTGGAGCCCTCCTGGAGAAAGACATTGAGTCCTCAAAAGGCAACTTAGTCATTTGTTTTACCAGGACTCAAAACACAATATAAGGTGAGATCACTGGGTGCTGTGCCCATACGTCTTGATCCAATTTTCTGACCGTACAGCAAGAGTTGATGTGTCACTGCTTCAGGCATGTTCGTTCTACTGTGATAGGCTTTGCTCAGACCTACTGACTTGAGTCGCTAGTGACCTGACGAGAGTGCATTTTGATCAGATTTAGTACATGGAAGAAGATAAGGAGACAATAGACCAAATTAGAATCTAATACTTAAATTGTGTTATTAGGAACTAAGATATTCTTATCCTTGATAACTATATTTTTGTGAAGCTCTTCACATTCCAGGAATACTGCTTGAAGTAGTTGTTACATCACTGGAAATTTAAATACCAAATACCAGAGATTTTCATTTACGATGTCAAAGATGATTTGGCCCCATTTAAAATATGCATCTAATTGATATGCCTAATACTTTAGAATTAAGGTTCTGTATGTTAACCTCTGTAAAATAGCCAGTGATGAGAAAGCAGACACATAGATGCCAGTGAGAATATCTACTTTTTTGAATAAACTCCTTTATGTATCCCTTTTTAAATGGAATAATATTTTCAATTTTTGATTCAATTTTATTTTTAATATGAATCTGTAAACCTTTATATTTATGTTTCATTCACATTATGCAATGTAGCTATTGCAGCAGAAAGCTGCTCCAGAGATGGAGACATGGGACATTACTTTAGTAAGGATGAGAAAAATATTGACAAATTTCTCCACACTCAAAATAAAAGCTTTCTGGAGAACCATTTGAATATAGCTAAGTAGTTTGGAACTTAGAGCTATTTAGATGATAAGACAACAAGGTAAATAAAATCCAGATCAGATATCTCATATCTTACCAGTTTGATCTTATTCCCTGATTTCCCTAACCCCCAATTCACGAACTGATGAAATGGACTTGTGAGGACTCAGTAAAATTTGTGCCAGTACCCATTATAATTTTGAGCACATATTATTTACATAATAAATTCAGTTTAATTGATTTCGAGTTACCTCATTATGCACCATATATGTCAAATATTTCCCAATGTACATGAAGTTCTGTTGTCATTAATTCAAGTATATTTTAGGTTTCTTTGCCTTTAAATTATTTGGGGTTTCATGGGACATACTCAGAGTGGTGGACCTCGATAGTGTCCAAATATCTACTAAATATTACTTCAAAAGACTCTATTGCATAAATAAGGATCACAACTTAAACAGCATCGTAAAAATATACCTCAGCTCCTCTTTAGGTGTAAAGTGCCGTATGAATGAAATGATGTAACTACTACATACAGTAATAATTGCATTTGTCTTTTCTCATTGCCAGTGGATATTCAGAGAACTGCTTCACTCATTCTCTGCACTAACATCTAAGCTCAGCCTTAGCGTTTAAGATTCCTCTGCATCCAGCTTTCCTCCTCCATTTATGCATTAGATGCTGAAAGTAAATCAGTGTTGGAAAAAGTACAGATTCTCTTTGGCTTACCCTTTCATTGGGAACAGAATGATGTGACTCTATGGATGTCCCACCAGCAATGTTCTGTATATTTATTCATCTCTCCCCCTCGTGGCTGCACGTGTTCCTTTTGTGTTACTAATGCTTGATGAGCCCCATTTCTAACCTTCATTTACTCCACCCTCCTCTGTTTTTATTCAGGTTAGGTGGCAGAATTAAAGGGTTAAATGATGATTTTCTGCTGTGATTAAGGTAAAAATACAATTGCAGCTGCAACCAATGGATATAAGAGAGCTCAGCCACACTGAAAGGCTTCTCTAGGTTTCATTTTTCTTCCATCCCACATTAGCATTTAGGCCATTCGTTGTAAAGTGTCAAGACTTCCGGGAGATATCATCATTACACAACCTGGTTATAGATCTAGAGAGCCGTGTGCAGTGATAACCTATTCTGCTTGCAAACTGTCACCTAAACATCTTCCATTCCTCAACTGTGCTCCAGATAGATTACTATGTCTGTCTCTTTCTTAATGGTTGGAACCAGAGGCTAAACATCACCATTTTCATCACTAAATCAGTTGTCTTAGGCTCCTTTCTATATTCTATGCTGATTTGGTCCCAGTGGAGTCAATTACCATCAAAAATTAATATTAATAGAACTCCAAGAAGTTGTAGAGAACTACAGGAGAGTCCTGTGAAATGAGGGTGTGTGGATTCAACCCATTGGCAGTCTATGCTTTGAAAATAATTGGATGTGTTCTTTTGTAAACTAATGTCTACAGGTTGAAGTCTGTACCAAATACGCCTGTATGAAGAGTAATAGAACCCAAATCACCACTGTGGAAGATACCCCAAGTGATATACCAATGCCCACAATTCATGGCATCACTTCAAGGTAAAATTTTTTGCCAGTTAATCTAAAGAGCTGATCATAAGCAATGAAAATTAAAAACCAAAGATTTCATCCCAGCAATGACAATCTCATTTAAAAAGTTGCTATAAAAATCTGTATAAATCAAGAGGTACCTGGATGGCTCAGTCAGTAAGGCATCAGATTCTTGATTTTGGCTCAGGTCATGGTTTTAGGGTTGTGAAATCAAGCCCCATGTCGGGCTTTGCACTGGGTGTAGATCCTACGTAACATTCTCTTTCTCTCCCTTTATCCTTCTCTCCCACCCCAAAAATCTGTAAATCAGAATTTTTGTATTATTAGTTATTGATCTTCTCTGGCCACATCATCTGCTATTTAAGTTTTAATGTCCCTGATTTTCCAGAATTACTTCCCTTTATTTAGTAACCTGTGAACAAATGCTTAAAAGCACAAAATATTTTCTATATTTAAATGTGTCCTTAGTGCTCGCTTTGGCAGCACCTACACTAAATGTGTCCTTAAGTGAATCCTTTGGTAATGCAAAGAATATAATTTTAATTAGGTTAACTAACTTCTAAGTTCATCTCTTTGAAAAAAATAGATGTACATATATCAGATTGCCCTAAACCTAGAAACATCTATAAAATAAACAGGTGAGATAATCTTTCTATAACCATTACCAATATCATCAGACTCTTGGTAGGATCTCCATTTGTTGCTGAGAAATAGCCATAGTTTGAAAATGAGTCTCGTTTCAATTCAAGTTATAATAATAGTAACACAAACATTTAACATGAAGTTCCCCAAGGCAAAAGTGAGATGACAATTGTTCTTCTCGCCACATCAATCTGAGGCTAGAGAAAGAAATCTGAGTACTCCCACATCATTCTTCTCACCCATCCAAATACATCACCCTTCACCATTACACATACACCCACACCTCCCACATATCCATGCGGACCAAAATAATTAATCTGTTATAAGAGATTTCAATTCCGAAGGATTCCTCTGCAACATATTGAAGTTTCTACATCTTTTTAAAAATCAGTTTAAAAATATCTCTATTAGAACTAAAGATTAAAATAATTATAAAACCCCAAGTAATAGGATGCTTGGCTGTTCAGGGCAAAGATCATGTCTTGTCTCCTTGAATACATCTTTTATCCAACACTCTGTAGATACTCATTTCAGATGTGCTAACTAATTGATAATCCCATCAGATTTTACCCATCTATCCACAGAATCGCCTACTCTACAGAGGCAAAATAATCAAATGAAAAACTATCAGCAGATACATTTGTGGCTATAATAATATAAGAAGAAAAAGTAATACAAAAAATGTATAAGGCATGGTTTTAAATTTTCAAAGTTTCAGTCCACTGACTGGAGACACGGCCCTAAACAAATGTTTACAGACTAATGTGAAAAACACCATAATATATGTTTATAATATGCAGGAAAAACATAAAGAGAAAAACACCAAACTCTACCCAGGATTACCAGTGAAGGCATCATGAAAGATGCAACATTTGAGTCCAGTCAAAGAACTCAAGGAAGAATTATAGTTAGGTGGGTAAATGTTGTCAAATTTCTTGTCTGTTAACATCCTCATGACTCAAGCCCAGGTGAATGGCATAAAGAATATGTCTTAAATTACATATTCAGGTACATATACAGGTAAAAATCTGTAAACTTTATTAGAAATTAAAAAATGCTCGTCTGTGTCTGTGTTTCCAGAATACCTTTTTCCTTTAAAAAGATTCCTTCAGGGCACCTGGGTGGCTCAGTTGGTTAAGCATCTGCCTTTGGCTCAGGTCGTGATCCCAGAGTCCTGGAAACGAGTCCTGCAAGCCTGCTTCTTCCTCTGCCTCTCTCTCTCTCTCTCTGTTACGAATAAATGAATAAAATATCTTTAAAAGAAAGATTCCTACAGATACTAGCAGAGGAAAAGTATTTTTTTAGTTGTGGTTCAAATTTACTCTCAAATATACTAAGCTGATGGCAAAAACATTAAAAAGGGGGTTTTACAACAAGAGTAAGGAAAACAACAGAGCAGACAACAGAAGAGAAATTTTAACACAGTTTTGGAAGAACTATTTGGCAAGGAGAAACAAATAACTTAGTGCAGTGGAGAACGTTTACAACCAAAGTGTTGGTTGTAGGAGATAATGATGGAAAACAAACTAATTTGCCCTGCAGAGAACCTCAGTGTCTAAGCACTTACAAACTTTAAAGATAGTAAAGACGAGGAAGATGGGTTAAGGTTCAAAGCTGGAATCATAGGATTAGTAAAAGTCTGAAAAAAACTGGTTGGAACCTATAATTAGTCAGTATTCTCCTGAGAAACAGAACCCAAAACTAAAGACTGAGGAAAGCTGGTGGTATAGTCTCTCAAAGGTTTGAGGATCAGGTTAACAAATGGTGTAGGTTCCAGCCCAAAGCTGAGAACAGGAGAAGACTGATGTTTTAGCTCAAGTAGTCAGGTAAAGAAAGGGAATTTCCCCTTCTTCAACTTTTCTGTTCTATTTGGATTCTCAGCTAATTGGGTAATGCCCACCTACAAGGGCTAGGCAATCTGCTTAACCAAGTCCACCATTTCACATGCTAATCTCCTAGGAAACAACCTCACAGATGTAACCAGAAGTAATACTTAGTAATACTTCTAGTAATACTTCTAGTAATACTAAGTAATACTTAGCCAATACTGAGCACCATGTGGCTCAGTCAAGTTGATGCATAAAATTAATCATCAAAAAATTCAAGGTTCCTCACCTCCATATTATGCATGCATATGTCTACTTCTGGCATATTCCACTCCCAGGAGATCAGAAGTGTATTCTCAGGAGAAACAAACAGGTTCATAGGAATTAAGGCTACCTAGGATCAATGGAAAACTGGGATGAAAGGCAAAGCTAAAACTCATGATCAAGTGCAAGACTACAGTTGGACTGATGAAAGCCTTTGTTACATTCCCTGGCATTGATCTCAAAAAACATTGGGAGAAGATTGTTGAAATCTCCAAATATAATTGTGGCTTATCTATTTCTTTTTTAGAACTATCCGTTTTTTGCCCCAGGTATTTTCATGCTGTATTATTAGGTACATACATGTTCAGGATTGCTATGTCTTGGTAAATTGATTCTTTCATCATGGTGTAATATCCTTTTTCTTTCTTGATAATTTTCTCATTATCAACCATAATTTGTCTGATATTCAGATAACCACTTCAGCTTTCTTTTGATTTGTGTAATTTTGAGTGATTTTGGATTGTTTCCTAGACGTTTTAAATATTAGGTTGTGACAATTTGAGTCCTGTTAAAAATTCGAGGGATGAAATTTTAGTTTGCTTCATTTAGCAGGTAATCATTTGGTTAACTTCAGATTGCAAATTCTGTCTTGCTTTGTATGCCCAGTGGTTCCAATGTCAGTGCATTTTTCAAAAGTTTTGCTATGCTGCTTCATGTCTGCTCCATGCGTGCACTTTTCAGTGGCTAATCTGGTATTTGTTTGAGGGATTATGTAATGGTTCAGGTCTCAAAGTCTTTGCTGTGATGCTCAGATTTCGTATAGGAAGCAACCATGCATGTATAGTTTGGAGTTGAGTCGGGACTTGTGTTGGTGCATACACAGAATTAGAAGATCACCTTGCTTTCTCTTCTGTGAGATTTCTCCCACAATGTCTAGGTTTTCCTGATTTTCCTTGTACTTCCTCTGTGGGATTGGTTAAAAACACATGGTGTCTTTTGGAATTTTGGCTTTCCAAGTTACCTTACATTTTATGCAAATGAGACTGTTTTGGGTGTGATAAGATGAGAGAAAATAGAAGGAAAAAGAGTGTTACCCTCCCCCACACCATTTTTTTTTTTTTTTTTTTTTTTTTTTTTTTTTTTTGACCACAGGAGCTTCTTGTCCTGGTTTCTCTGGTCAGAAAGAGATTTTTTCTTGGGATTTTAGATTATCATTTGACCAGGACTGCTATAGTGCAGCTCCTTGACTGGAGTCATCCTCAGAGCAGAGTCCAGAGGAGAAAAGAAAAAAGCAAAACAGGGATTTCTCTCACACTCTCTCGGTTATAAGGTCTTTTTGTACTCTGGCCAGAAAGAGGGTTTCTCACATAGATTTTTCTTTCCCAGTTCACAGTTCTACACGGGGGCTGCTCTTGGGTTAAACTGGGGAAATAAAAGAGAAGAAACTATGACAAATTCAATATTTCATCTTTTTTTCCCCAAGTTTTTGCTCCCCTCCCGATCTGTCTCTATTGTTAACTTTTCAGAATCCTCAGGTGGTTGTTTCCTATTTTGCACACTTTTTAGTGTTGATCAGTCAGAGGGAGAGGTGGTAACAGGTCTACTCCATATTGGCCAGCCACAGAAAGTCCCTCTCAACCACATACATATTTTTTTAATTCTAATCCCTTTGGCAAACTTATTTCCTTTTTTTTTTTAAGATTTTATTTATTTATTTGACAGAGATCACAAGTAGGCAGAGAGGCAGGCAGAGAGAGAGGGGGAAGCAGGCTCCCTGCTGAGCAGAGAGCCCAATGTGGGGCTGGATCCCAGGACCCTGGGATCATGACTGGAGCTGAAGGCAGAGGCTTTAACCCACTGAGCCACCCAGGCACTCCCTTATTTCCTTTTTTTAAAAAAAGGTTTGCTTATTTATTTTTAGGGGAGGAGCCAGGGACAGAGGGAGAGAGAATCTCAGCAGACTCACCACTGAGCAGAAGCTCAGTCTCCAGAACCCTGAGATCGTGACCTGAGCTGCAACTAAGAGTCAGCCATCCAGCCATTCCAACTTTATTTCCTTTTTGTTGTTTTTCTCTTTCTTTCTACCTTCCTTGCTTCCATTTTTTTTTTAAGAAAAAGCTTGATAGAAATCATTCACAACCAAATATTGGCAAGGAAAATCTTTCCTTTCTAAAAATGATTCATCATAGAAGAGCAACAGTTTCCAAAGGCAAGACTCTAATGAGCAGCCATAGACTGCCAAGCCATTAATCAAAATTATACCAACACCAAAGCAGT